TATGCGTTATGCTTTATGTAAAGCTTGTGCTCTCGGCTTATGCGTTCCATGCGATTGCGTAATTGCATATGGCGATTGATAGCGATATTGTAAAAAGTGTCAAAATAGGAAGAGTCATAATGGAAGAGTCATTGATGATTCACTACTATTACAGTCACTCATTTCATCAATTAAAAACATTGTCACATTGATAGCGCAATTTATTGAGGAATCCATTTTTGATTTTCCGCTTCTAATGCGTTCAATATCGTTCCGTTTCAAAGCATGTATCATGCGCATAATGAAACGAAACGCAGCCAACGCAGCCAATTAGCGATGCGAACGATGCGTGCTATGCGCAAAACGGAACGCAACCATAGAAACATGGACTGCTAGTGTTCCCCCCTTTTTCCATTGAAGCAATGTTAAACAGATGTAATGGACATCTCTAACGATATTAGCTCCGCCTTTTGCCCAAAAAGCGGGAAATTCAAATGTAAAATATCTGAGAATAAGTCAAGGTTAAATATAAAAACAATATCATTATTATTACAGACTTAATAATTTTATTATAAAGAAAGAAATAATGTTATAACGTTATTATAAAAATAAAATAAACGTAAATGCATCGTAACGTTACAATATAAAATAATAAAATAATAAAATGATAAAGATGTGTTTACCTTGTTAGTGTTAAGTTATTTTTAGATTTGTTCATTCTTTTTGGATCAAGATCTTGACTACTTGGAGACATTTCTGTCGTTATTTCTCTAGCTTCGATATATTCCGATTCAATTAGGCATTGATCATCATTGATCACATCTGTACTTAGCAATGGAATTTCTGGCGTTGCTGGTAATATTTCTATTCTGTAATTTACAATAATTATACTAATAGATTTACTAAATAATAGATGTTATAAATGTTCACTGTAATTGTAATTATATTAATTGTATTACGTTTGTTCTTGGGCACGTGGAAAAATAGATGGAATAGAATTTGATTTTAATCAAAATTGTTTATAACCGAAACGTTCTATACACTCTGATGTAAAGTGTAAAATGTAGATGCGACTACTTTTCAGTACATTTCGTGCACTTTCTTGTTTATTTAAAGTTACTAATGCTTCGATCCACTTCTCCTTAAGACTTGGATTGCTCGGAAATCTATTATTCATATGTATGTAATTATTCTCTCGAATTATATAAACATCACGTTATTTTATTAAGATATTTAATATGTTTATTATAATATGCGACAAGACAAAATAAAAACACTAAAATAGTATGTAAATGAATAATAATAACTTAAATTATTAATACTTTGACATTAAAAGTTAAAATTTCAGTGAGATAGATACTGATTTCTTCATTGATTTAAGCAGATAAATACTTTTACTTCGTAAACTACACATTTTAGAAAGTATTCTAGTATTATACAGATTAGAATCACACAAACTATAATATACCCAAAAATTTGCAAACTGGTATCATTATCGTCATGTTGACGTTTATATTTTGAACTATTGCACCTTTCCACAAAACAATAACGACCCATTTTTTAATTGTATAAAATAAATAAACTGATGAGGACTCCGGCTGTTGATCGTTTTCGATCATGCTTTGTATTGTGTGACGCATGTGACGTCATGATATTTTAGTTCTTGGGTAAGGGCTATGGTGGCGTTGTTCATTACACTCTTATTTCACTACTAGCAGTCCATGTTTCTATAGTCAAAGGTGCCGTCACATACAGCCCATAATCCGTAATCCGCACCGAAAGTCCGCAAAAGTTACTAGGTATTTTGTCCGTAACGTTACGTGTGTTTTTATCAAGATCTATAGAGAGAAGGTTACCTCATGCGCAAAAAGGGACAAGCGGCAAGAGGGGCAAATGCAGAGAGGGGCGAGCGGCAAGAGGGGCAAATGCTAAGAGAGGCGAGAGGCAAAAGGGGCAATGATGATCTCATCGGCGAACAGAAGCTATCTCAGACAGCTACTGTTTGTCGATGAGATCATTATGCTCTCCCCTTCCTTCATAGCCCCTCGCCATCAAGCTGTTTCTAGCTCCCCCCTTACTTCATCGTCCCTCGCCGTCAACCGATTTTACTGAGGTAACCTTCCCTCTATAGATCTTGTGTTTTTATCTCCTTGTGTCTCATGGAGCCGTAAATACAGACATAACAGTAGTACTATTTTTTACTTAACAGATTATAATTGTTTATTTGTATTTTATTCATAAGAAAACTACAGAATATATTATGATTTTAACAAAAGTTTTAATTAAATCGTCAAATTTAGTTAAATAAATAAAATTAGAAAAAGCATTACTAGTAATAATTAGTAACTTGTAGTAACTTTTACGGAAATTTCATGGAATTACGGTTCCATGGGACACAAGGAGATAAAAACACACGTAACGTTACGGACGAAATACCTAGTAACTTTTGCGGACTTTCGGTGCGGATTACGGATTACGGGCTGTATGTGACGGCACCCTTATAGTTACTCAAAAAGTAACGAGTCGTTACTTTTCAATTACTTTTTTGCAAAAAATGTGCACTACTATTTCAAATATAAGAATCTTACATTTCAAGATTTATTAACTTATTACATATTACATATGTACTTAATTTTGTGTTATATTATTTTATATGTAATAAATCACAATTGTTTTAAACTTAAATAAAAATACATTTAAAATATTACATTAATTATAATTTAAAATAAATTATTATACACTTACAATAAAAATTATAAGATTAAGATTTTTCAGTTTAAAAATTCACGAGTTTCACACAAACAGCTGTAATTTTCCAAAAAATCGTAGACTAATGTTTCAGTTCTTCTTAAAGTCTCAACTTTATGCTTATATAATAATCATTCTCAAAGATAATTTATTACTGGGTGGCAGTGCATTCTGTAAATGAGAATTTGTTTATTTTTGTTGAATTTCATAATTAATATCTATACGTCTATCCGTCTATTTATTTAACAAATATCGAATCTACACTTAATATAACAAATTCCATGACAATTTTATTGCTTTCCTTATGCATATGTTTACGCGACTATGCAAGTTTGTCTGGAGAGGCTCTAATTCTTACAATTAATACAACCGTATATAGAATATTAAATTAAGTTATTAGTTGCCATAAATGTGTGTAACTAAGTTAAGTTACAGTTATAGATGAAGAAAAAGGAACGAAGTTAAGTTATAGTTACCGAAAAAAATAACTGTAACTGCAACTTCGTTACAAGCAACGAGTTACTTTCCAACCCTGTCCATAATTATATATACAAGGTGTCCGGAACAAAAACTATCAATAATAAAGGCTCGTTATTTCATAATACATTTATTAAAATGCTGTTTGTGGTACAGTAGAACTCAATAAGTTTTTAAAGATATCAGTAAATCTCAATCGCAGATGTGTTAGAAAACATCTCGCGAGAAATTGAATACCGCCTGGCCGTCTGCCGTGCAACAAGAGGCGCGCACATACAGATTGATTGACTGATTTGAAATTTATTGATATTCCTAAAACCTTGTTGAATTTCTCTGTATTTTACCACAAACTAATATATATATATATGCACATATACAGGGCTGGGCAAAATACATTATAAAAGTATTTGAAATATAAAATACAAAATACTGTCAATCTTAGTATTTGAATTACAAAATATAAAATACTTTTAATTTTTTTATTTGAAATACAAAATACAAAATACTTTTAAATCTTTTTTTTGAAATACAAAATACTTCTTTGAAATACAAAATACTTTTTAATTACAATAATATATAAACTTCGCTATATAATAATTAAACAAAAAGCAACAATATTTGTCATTTATCACAAGCAGTTTAAGCGATTTCGCATTATGTCTTGATTGATCACAGAAAAAACTGAGAGAAACTGAAAAATATTGAAAAAGACGAACTGAAAATTAATCAATCAAATCACACACACAAATCACACATTTTTATTTAAATAAGTGTGATTTCCTTTTAAAAAAATTAATTTTTGAAAACATTTATCTGAAAGTGATCGTCTTGAAGGCGATTGAATAAATCCTGCAAAAGAAAATAGCCTCTCCACAGCTGCAGAAGAACATAAGCTCGTGTTAAATCTTATAAATAATTTTTTCACAGATGGGTAATTGTTTAAAGAAGATAAAGACTTTGATTTATTATTTAAAAAATGATACAAACTCTAATTGCTGTTGAGATTGTTGTTTTTCTGTTTTTGGACAAGAAAAAATAAAAAAATCTTTATCTGTATCACTAGTACTAGTAGCCTGTTCAGACATACTAGTTTCCATTGTTTCCATAGAATTAACGCATAAATTTTGAATG